AAAATTGTAGCTTCGCTTCTAATATCAGCAACTAAAGCTTGAAGAGGGCTTATCTAGGAGTCCCGGAAGTGAAGAGACAACTTATGAATTGATGATCCATTGTTGAAATTTTGAACTGCTATTTGCATTGATGATTTCTCTTCTTTCTCAAGTCTTGAATTGATATCAATGATTGTATCAATTTTTGTAACTTTGATATCATACATTTTGCATAGTTTAGGAAACTTTGAGGAAATAAGTGAGATAAAATTGTAGTTGGCAATTTATGAGGTAGTATTGGTAGAAATTGCTTTCGATTAAAGAAAACATGTATATGGTTAGGTCTCCTTCATATCGGGTTTCCCTTTCCATTTTTCTCTTCTACTATTAGCCAACCTAGCAATTATTTTTTACTTCATTAATTGGCCCTTCTAAAATCTTCATTAGTAGTACAATAAGAATAATTTGTTTGAACTTACTTACATCTTTTTCTGTTTTTTTTCCTTTGTCACTTCAACAACTAATTTTTTTCATAAACTTGTTAATCTTGATATAGATAGTGTATCTTTGATTAAATAGAAAATATATATTAATCTCAATATGCAAAACTAATTCGAGAATACTAAAAACTTTACAAATAAAATATTGAAGCTTCAAATTATTTACTATTTTCAGCTCTTGATTACCATTTATCTAAATTATTACTCGATAAGCTAATAATCTATCTAATTGGGTATTTTATTTATAATTACTTCAATATAAAGTTCTCAATCTATAATTAATAGATAGCACATGACAATCAATGACCTTTTAGAATTAATAATCATTTGATGAGCACTACATGATCTTATGTTGGTTAGGATGAATGAGCTAAGACAATTATAAGTTACCATATTCAACGGACGATAAAATACACTTATTTAGGTAGCAATTATTCAAAACATATCATATAGTTTGTTAGGAAGCAATTACATGGTTAACTTTAATTCCAAAAACACAATACATAAATTCAAAAGTTACATGTGTTTAATTACAAAACATCAATTCGATCAATCAACTCAAAAATTTTTTATTACAAATTTCACAAGCATCCCAACCATGTAAGAAAAACACTACGATCACGAAGACGAAGAACTCTACTTTCTTAAGTTTCAATTTCACTTTTCTTCTTTCTTCCCTTTCTCTTAAAAGTTGTAGGTGTTTTTAGATCTTTACTATGCGGGATTGCAATTAATTTACTAGTTGAGTGTCGAGATCGCACATAAAAAATAGGATATTAAAAATTAACATATAAAAAATCAAACTTATTTATTTTTATTAAACAAGCAATAATAAAACACTTACGTCTAGAATCATACATCCCGAGTCGGTAGCAAAACAACTGTTTTTAACCCAAGGTTTCCTAGCCTTTTAATAGTTGATCTAGTATTGAAAGTTCGATTGTAGCAAGCATTTTCACAAAAAAAAAAGGGTCTTTTTTCTCTTCTCGCAGACAGATCTAGTATTTGGGGATTTGATTGTTGAATTAACTTTAGGAACTTCATATCAACAAGAGGTCTTTTTCCTTTTTTGATAGTGGATTTAGTAATTGAAGATTTGGTTATTGGCTCAACTTCAAAAACTTCATTAATAGCAATAGAACTTTTTTCTCTTTTATCAACAATCTCTCTCGATCGAATAGAAAAATCTCTTACGACTTGTGTATCCCATACAACACAATATTCAAGTTCTATATTTGCATTTAAAAAATATTATATTCATAAATAAATTATCATCTTTTTTAGGATAAAATTGCTACCCTCATTAATTGCCCTTAATTTTGTAGCATAATCTTCAAGTCCATCAAATTCGGACTTTACGTTAACTTTAATCTCTACTTGGAACTAATTTTTTGTATGTTGAACAAGTATGGAAGAGATCCTTGAACCTTAATCCTTCTTAGCTACCTCAATAATTTCCTTCAATGTCATTTTCAAGCAACTCTACCAAATTTTTGAATTAAATGCTTACCCATAACTTTATAACTTAAACGATTACTCTTGTAAACAATATTACAACTATGCTTTGTCACACATGTCTTCACCATCCGAGTTTTCAAATTTTCCATGTGGAGAAAAAAGAATTTTAAAGATACATTCCTCATCTTTACACACTTGCTCTAACCGTTTTTCTATCATTCTTCTCAAGTTTTACATCTTTTTTATGCTTTAAAGCATGTTTAATCATTGCAACCTAAAAATATGGATCAGTTGTGTTAGGATAAAATTTTTTTTTTTTGGATATCTTCTCTCATGCTTCTCAATATCCTCATCACTACTATCTATACTAACTCTTGCATCGAGTCATATTCATGTTCTGCTTTTATTATTTCAATCACTTTTATAAAGGCATTCAAGAATTTATCATCACAATCATTTTCAACCTCATTTCCCTCCTTATTTTCATCCACACTCAAGTTTTCTTCCAAATTTTGACCCTCATATCCCTCTAAATTAACGACTCGATTTCCCTCTATATTTTTACCCTCACTTCCCTCCAAAATTTCACCCTCGGTTCCCTTCAAATTTAAACCACTTCTTCTCTCCTATGCTTTTCTAACTCTGATTTCTTGCTTTTTGTAACTCCTCATCTCCATCATCGGACAAATATTGACAATAAAAAACTTCATCATCATAATTTTCAACACATTCACTCTCGAATATATCAAACTTTTCTCCATCAACCTTCTCACCAACGAGTACCATCATCACCCAAATCATCTTCTCCTAGTAAAATATCAACTAAATCATCCCCACCAACTTCCTTACTATCAAACAACCTAACATCGATTAAATTTTCAACTACACATTCTTCTTTATTAACCGTCCTATCATCATTTAATTCATGATCGGGTTCCTCTCTTCTATCCTTAAAACCCAACCTAAGACCATGGTTAGTAATCTCTAGCCTTTGACATACTCTAGATGGACTACCCTCATTGAGTAATAGGTGGTATTTACCTTTATGTTCATAATAAATGTCAGTCTTTTCAATTTTCTCTATCAAGTCGAACAACCCCTGTTAGACTTTTGTCATCATGCACTAACGTAAAAAACAAAGATTGGGATAGAAAAAGGATCGTTGTAATAAACAAACACAATATCCTTTCTACCAAATTCCTCTACTAATTTTAAGAGGATCCTAAAACACAATAACTTTAGGTTAATATTTTCCTTCTTAAACATAGACCCACCAACTTACCTAACCCATAAACCCATTGGAACCACTAGCATTTTCGCACACTCGTCCAAATGAAAAGAACATATCTTCATAAGTCAAATACAACCAATAAAGAAAAACATTAACCACAATCAACCCATGACACAGTTGGGGTCCCAAAATAATATACATTGATTGAGAATAAAAAATTTACCTTATTGACAAACCAATGACAAAGCAAGGACCACACACATGAATAGTAAGGCTCCCAAAATAATATTCCTTTTCTATATTATTGTATACTTTATCGCATTATTAAGTTGTCCCTACAATAATAAGGACCACTACTTAGTCAACAAAATAATAAAGCTATAATAAATTGACAATGGAGGGCAAAACAACTTACCTTTTTGGCCGGATATTCTTGTTCTTTAATGTTATCCACTTTATCGCGATAAAAAACAAGAGAAATGAAGAATCAATTGAAATTGATTAGGGGACAACAAAGAAAAGTCTCCAACCAACAACAATAGATACTTGACGTCAAAAAATTGGATGGGATATTTAAGGTTTCGAATTGGGGATTTTCATCAATTGGGGATTCGAGCTACCAAATTAGGGATTTTCATAAATTTAGGATTCGGGATGCTAAATAATCAAAGATCTTTCGGTTAGAGTGCTTATGAATCGATGGTGAACGGAAAATCGAAGGCAAATGTGTGAGGATATTAGGGTTTTTCATCTGGATTCTATTGTTTCGATTGATCGACTGCAAGAGGAGAGAGAAAAATCAAAGGGTTTTTATACTTTGGTTTTTTTTCTTTCGGATTATGCATGTACAAATTTTGGGCTACGTGGCAAATTTTATCTAATGTGTCATGCCATATCACGTGGTAATTTTTTGCCATCTTTCATCACCAACTAGAAGATGCACTCGAATTTCGGTGTAAGGGGCCACATTAAGAAAAATTGAAAAGTATAAGGACATGTTGAATAAGAAAAGAAGTATATGGGTCACATTAAAAAAATATCAAGAGTAGAAGGATGTTTTATGCAATTAAACCAAAAATTGGACACACCATCCATCATTACTTCGACTTTCTCTATCGAACCAAATCTCTTGCTCCCTGCGGTAAAACGAAAAAACTAGGTCATGAAGGGAGGTTTAGGATCCGAGTAACCGACTAGGTTTGAAGTAGTATTAGTACATGTTGCTATTGGTATTCCAGTTTTGGTCCAGGTAAATATTATGAGGACTATGCTATCCTAATTTTTCAAGAAGATGAACTAGATAAAGAACTAAAAATTCCTATGACCAATAAAAAAAAGAACCAATTTATTGCCAAATTTGCAATTTCTAGATCCTGTGAAAAAAGCCAGTAAACAGAGAGGAGGCTTTTGAATGGAAGTCTCATCATGCTCATAAGAGACCTTATGAATATTGATATTTGACATTAATTTTAATTTTGTTTATATGTTTATGATAATAATGAAGCCTTACTCTAACTATCGATGAACTTCCCAACCTTTCATGATCGAAGTAGAAGGGGTGGGATAGTTGAACTAATAATCTCACCCATTGGCCTCTTGTTACTTTTATCTTAGCATCTCAATCTTATTTGATGTCTTTGTAGCCTCCTAGCCCGTTTTAAGTCAGCTAAACTAGGAAATAATGATTGTTATGCGCATTCTCACTTTACAAACTGGACAACAAAAACAGCATAATTCAATTTTAGTACTTTACTTAATTCAGTTCAGCTAGCTCCAACTTAGTCTTACTAGTAAGCACAGCTAAAATAAAGTCTAAAAGACAATTATAAAAGCTAAGACAAAGGAGATGCAAAACCCTCTTGAGCAGATAATGGATGGAGAGGTTGCTGTCTCCTCGAGGAGCCATATTTTTCCTTTCTGAACGAAGGTCTCATGGCAAGGTCTTTCAAAGTACTTTTCGCATAAAACCTTCGCAGCAGCAACACTGATCTCTCCTTGTATTTTAGTATTGAGAAAAATATTAGTTTGTGACAAAGTAATAAGAAGAAGAGAGCAGCCAAATCCCACCACTTCGCATAGTTCACCCGAACACCGAAAAATTTCTCAAGGATTTGCTTGCCTTGAAGCTTAGGTTCTCCTTGCACGAAAGGTTCGAATTCAAGTCCAAGCATATCGTTTTTGTATTGACCCTGTTTCCCATTGGCATAACGAATCCAGTAGATGTCAGTAATTTGGCATTACAAATCAATGCACAAAGCACACAGACAGTTATATTTTCATCTTTAGGTAGCTTTGGTAAGCTGTAGCAGATGAAACCAAATCGAGTGTGATTTATTAACTGAAACTTGTTGGCAAATTTGGGTTAAATGGTTGCATAGAGAAGAATTGACATGCAAAACTGCTTTTCAAGTGATGCAAATGATACCAACGTGGGCAATGTTGTAGTTCATAGTTAGATTGCCTTGGAAACTGAACTGGAAAAAGACTTTACCTGAACAGCCCAAGAAGTGAAACTGATATAGGCCATAGGGTAGTGCCAAAAGAACTTGGGAAGATCAGGCAGTGGCCTATAGAGTCCAGAGGCCATTGTCAAAAACATCTACATTAACATATAAATGGTAAATCATATTAACTATCAGCTTCTTTTAGAGCCAGCACAAAATAATGAGAATTGGCAGAAGGTGGTAAGAATTTTGCTTACAACTGCAAAAGCTGAAACTCCTACACCCATCAGAAAGTTTGGTACAAGCAGCGCAACAATCATCGCCACGCTTTCCATAATGGCCACGCAGAAGAAGAGATTCATACAGAGATAGCAATAGTGGGAGAATCCCAGATGGAATTTGACCATGTAAAATATTATTGTACCAGAAGAAAGAGACATGATCACTAGGAAAATGAACGATGATAGTAAGTTAGAAAGCATAAACACAGCCTCTCCATAGTGTCCGTTGTGTAATTCATGGTAGGATACCTTCCATTCTTCTTGTAAAGAGGGTAATCCTCCAACAGACAAGCAAATCAAGAAGTCATAAAGGTATGTGTAGCATTTTGCTCTTGAGACAAATGCGGAGCTTGATAAGCCAATATCAAAGTACATAATTCCAGCACCTAGTGCTATTAGAATAAGGAATAGGATCCGTACCCAGAAATACCCGAAATCTCTAATCATGTTAACAAAAGAACGAATAGTCAGGGTGTAGAGCTGCTTCCACCAATTGTTTCTGCTCTCAGTACTCAATCCAGTCATAAGTTCTTCCTACAATTTACAAATTCTTTATTAGCCAAAGGGGATACATTGCTTGATCCTATGGAAGTATGGCGTTCCATTGAAGAAATTAACTAGTGACAAGTCATTGCAGCTCGTGCCGCATAAGTAAATCACAGGAAAAGGTTATAAGATAAGGCAGTACAAAATGAAGTTAGGTGTGATCAAGTGTAATTACTTACATTAAGGAGTGCAATTTGTCGAATCCTTTTTCTTGTGTTTGTCGAGTACTCAGAATTCCTGTATTTTTCGACAAGCTTTGCTTTGATGTCTTCTGCAGTAAAATTTGTTTGAAAATTTGACGACTCTGAGACTGTCTGCATTACATAAGGATCAATTAACAATAAGATAGGCTGGAAAGGAAACCGAACAAGCCTGTATGACTACGTACAGAATCTCTCTGCGATCGCAACATAGTTAAGGCTATCTTGTAGAAGTCTGAATTAATACATCGAAGGAAGTGATCAGAAGGATTTCTTCGCGTTGGACAAGGAAATCCAGCATCAGCAAAGAACTGCATCACAGGACAAGAAAAATTGGCATTCCTTTTAACAATTTCTCTCATTTCTATCTATCCTCAAATCCTACTTACCTTGACAGCCAGGTTTGCTTCTCCAAAATAGATTGTCTCTCCACTTGAGAGGAGGCATAAGTCATCAAACAAATCAAAGATATAACTGCTTGGCTGATGAATAGAGCAAACAACTATTCTTCCATCAAGAGCAATATTTTTTAGAGCTTGAATAACAAATAAGGCTGAAGCACTATCTAGGCCGGTGGTGGGTTCATCAAGAAACATGACGTAAGGCTGTGTTAATATTTCAAGACTAATGCTTAGTCGTCTCTTTTCGCCACCGCTTAGACCTCTCAAATGCCAGTTTCCAACCTTATTGTCAGTACAATCCTGAAGCCCCATCTTCATGATTGTGTTTTCTATTGCTGAATTGATTTCATCATTGGTCATTGTGCTAGGTAGCCTCAAATGAGCGGAGTATGTGAGAGTTTCTCGGACAGTAAGAGTTCCCAAGAGAAAATCTTCTTGAGTAGTATAAGACTGCAGATACGAAATACTCTAATTTATTTGATTGTAAACGAAGACCCAAAAAAGTCCAAAAGAATTGCTATCGTTTAGAATAATAGTAAAAAAGAAGAAGCAGCCTGAAGCATGATTTTACAAGCCAATTAAGAAAAATGGGGGCAAATGTATAAAGAGGAGGTTAAATTTGAACTTCTAAAACAGATTAGAGCATTTATTACATTTTTGAGAAAAATAATAACCGTATTTTATTTCACTTTCTTTCATAGAACATATTAATTTTTGAGTAAATTATAAATAAGTCTCTTATTTTTTAAAAAAAATTAATTAATTCTCATTATTTCAAAAACTAATTATTTAATTCATTGATCAATATTGATTATGTTTAATTTAATATTATTTTATTTAAAAAACTGTGGTTATTTTTCATCAGTTCTTCTATATTGTTTTACTTATTTTCTATTTCTTAAAATAACCAATCAACATAAATTGAAAAGGGACCAAAATGATTACAATACAATTACTAAATAATTAATTTTTAAAACAAAAGGACTAATCAATTTGTTTTTCAAAACTAAAGAAATTAATTTATAATTTACTCTACGTTTTGTAGATGTTTTATTGTCAAGAGTTTTAGGTATTGCTATAAAAAAAATTTGGGTTTTTTTTTTTAATATTTATTTTATAATGTCTATTTTATAGTTCATATATCTTCCACTCTGAATTTTATACATTTCCACCCATATATATTTAGCACGTCATTCTTTATATATATATATATATATATATTCATTCTAATCATAGATATAGGACTACTAATACTTACAATACTTCTGGAACCAATGTTTCTCTGCTTTCCATTCAGCAAAACATTCCCGGTCATTACCACATTCGATGACAGTCTTCCTGTTGAAGATCATGGTATTAAATTAAAGGTTGTCTCTTCTCTTGTGGATCCAACCATTAAAAGGAAAAAAAAAATGCAAATAATTAAAAGGTAATCTCCTCTCATGTAGATCCAATCATTAAAAGGGAAAAAAAATTGCAAATAATGAAAAGGTTGTCTCCTCTCATGTATCCAACCATAAAGACTCCTCAGATCTTCTTAAACAAGTAAAAAGAGAAAAAACTTTAATATAATATTAGGAATTGCAATTAGTTTATGTAGGACAATAAAAAAGGAAAAAAACACTAGCTAAAGTTGCTGTATATGCTCTTCCTCCTCCCCCTGCCACTGCCAGGATAGTTTATGTAGGGCAAAATTTATATAATTGAGGGGTACAAAAAAGAAAAACTTTCATCCTCGGGTATTTATCCCACCCGGATCTATATTTTGTCTTCTGCTGTAGCTGCAATCCAAAAACAGGGAAGAAAACAAAATAGAATACCCAAAGAGGAATAAAAAAGGTGAATAAAGTTACAAAAAGAAAAAGAGAGTAGGGGATGTAGCTCAGATGGTAGAGCGCTCGCTTAGCATGCGAGAGGTACGGGGATCGATACCCCGCATCTCCATTTCTTGTTTTTGTTTTTACTATCTAAAGGGAGAAGCTAATGCATATATGGAGAGGGAGAGGGAGAGGTACCAGCTAATGCATCAAGTAAGGTGGATTTGCCTGAGCCAGAAGGACCCATAATGGCCATGATCCGATCAGGTAGAGCATAACCACTTTGCCGATTTAGCAACTTCCTAGTCGCTCCTTTCTTAGCCACCAGTACTACTGTTACGTCTTCCCATATCATAGATATTGCTTTCTTTTCTCTATTACTACTGGCCTCCGGTTGCTCTTCAATCTCGCTCTCTTGTATCTTCATCTTGATAGATAGATATTAATATGCTGTTCATAGCCTGTTTGAGGCCATGCCTTCTATTCGTGGACGATGCTGGTCCCTCTCTATGTAGTCAGTAGTCGTAAACAAGCAAATAAATACGGGTCCAGCCTTCGGCTCTAGTCTTCTAGTAAGGCCGCTACCTCTGTGGTTTTAGACGTTTTTACTATCATTATTCGCTGTTATAAGATTGTGGTTGGCGTTTGATATAAATAACAACATTATTTGCTTATGTATTTTAAAAAAAATTGAATTTATTTTACACCATAGATGCAAGACTCAGAACGATAAAAGTCTGAAAATGCTTTGTGTATTGCAATTTTCGTTCAGACACTGAAGTATACATGAACTTATATAATTTATTTATTTGAACGAGGAGGCAAAATTTTACCAGATAAATCGTGTGGCAGAGCTTCTCAATAATAATAATAATAATAATTGTCTTACAAAGAAGTTCGAATAGAAACGAGAGGTATAATTACAAGTTCACTTTGAAAATTCTTAGATAAGTGAGTTATTTGACCCCATGTTTCAACCAAAGGAAAATCGGACATTTCTACTCAAACGTTGATTTATCACAAATCCGACAGTCATTAATTACTTCCGCTTTGTTGGTTGGAAGCAATAAATATTTTCCATCAATCGTTCAATCAATCAATATACAAAAATTAATTATCGGTATCAATCGCTCAATCAATCAATGTACGATCGCAACATAAATACAACTATACAGAGCATCACACTAGTTTTTGGATCCATAAAAGCCTGTACGTTTTTTTCTTTTTTAATAAAAAAGAAAAGTACGGTGGCTAGCTTACAAAATTTAAAATTCGTTAGTAATCGTTATTCCTATCTCGTCTACAACATTCATCGGTGCTTCTCTCAAGTATGAATATTGCCGGTTCAACCTCTCTTTCCTAAAGATGATTACAACTAATCTTTTTTCTGGCTCATCAATAAAGTACATTGAGTCCTCATCATCCTTATGATCCGAATAAATTGACAGTTTTAATTTCAAGAACTCAGTCACATAAGGGTCAAACCTTACTAATCTTGATCAATAGTCAACTATAGAGTACTTCTTCACCCAATCCTTGATTGGCGGACGTCTAACCTTATTATAGCCGAAAGGTTTATTGAATACCCTCAACCATTATTTCTACAATGTGCTGCAGAAGTACCTACTTCTTCCGTAATGCTAGACCCGCCTCGAGACTATGAAGGTCCGAATGATGCCTCGACCTCGGCACCTCCTCTATAGTTATTTGATCCAGATCCTCAACATGGTAGCCTATACGAAAAGTAACTTAGTTTAACACAATTCAAAAGAAATGATTTAAAAAAAGCAATACACTTAATACCTAATTCATATAAATCTTTTTTCCTCTTTTATTATGCTTGCTTACACTTAAGAGTAAGATAACAATTTTTGGTCTATAAGAAGAAAATAACAAATTCAAATGAGCAAACCTAAACCAAAATACATACAAATCCAAAAACACAAAGGGCAAAATGAAATCAACATGGAAAATCAAATTAGAGAAAGAGACACATGAGTAGAAGAATTAAACACGACTTGATGAAAAATTTGACATGCTTATATGTGTTTTAGCCTAAGAAGTCACACGAGTAATAGGATTTAAGCACGGTTTGTTTTGAAAATTTAACACAATCGTACATGTTTTGGAACAAAGGGAGACACGAGCAAAAAGATCAAACATAGTTTGTTTAGAAAAGTGACACGTACGTGTGTGTTTTGATGCAAAGAGAGACATATGCGAAATTCAAACACAATTTGTAGGGTAAATTCGACACGCCCGTGCATATGTTTAGCAAAAAGAGAGACACAAGGAGAAAGATTGAGCATGGTTTGCACAACAAATTTGACATGCTCTTGTCTTACCATAAAGTTGTCATCCAAGAAGGAAGAAAAGCCACAAGGGCGAAGCAATGGACTTGGTTTGAAGGGAAAAAGTGACATGGTCGGGTGTTACCATATAATTGTACAAAGTAAAAAGAAATCCCATACGAGTAGTAGCCATGGGACACGGGTTAAAGAGAAATTTTACACGAGTCGTGTGTCAAAATTAAACAAACCATGAGAGGGACTTTGCAAGATAAAACCCTACTTATCACATGCAATTTGAGACTATAAACATAAAAACTAAGGCACACACTAATGGATTGATCCATGTAATTCAAAGGAAAAGCCTAGATTAGAATAGAACCTACGTCGTAATAACCGGTATCCACCGAAACTAAAATTAAATAAAAATTTTAATATTAAACACATGTGAGAAATGTTTTAAAGGTATAAAATAATCTTTAAGGGCTTGAAAGAATATTTAGAATAGTTGAAATAGTCTTTTTATGCTTGATGGATATTTTACTAATTTTTACGGTGCATGAATAATAGTTTTTGCATGAAATAATTATTTGGAGCATGTTGCATGTACATGAAAAATATTTTATTTGCTTAGAATATTTTTTAGAGGGGTGTTGAATTATTTTATGTGATGGCGTGAATTATTTTATATGTTGTGAATATTTTATTTGAATTTTCATGTGTAGGAATAGTGTTTAGAGGGTAGAATAATAAAATTAAATATTTAGAGAGTATGAGGAATTTTTTTAAGGACATAGAAAAATCATTTGGGATGTGTAGGAGTATCTAATAAATGTAAATTAATTTTTCTACTTATAAGAAATAGTGTAATTTTTACACTAAATAATTAATTTGGTGGCCTAAATGAGGGTATAAAAATTATGTAAATTATGATTAAATTATTTTAATAAATTTTTGAATTTATTCTAAAGAGAAATTGAATTTTTGAAAGGTATGTTATAAAATTTTAGAATTAAAGATCTAATTGCATAAAATTAAAAGTTTGAACTTCTAAATTAAATTAGCTATGAACCTAAAGAGTTTAAAAGGTTTTAAGATACCTTTAAGCGAAGGACCTAAAGTGGTCAATTAAAAAAAATTAAAGGATGCTTTGATGAGTAATTAGAGAAAAGGTTAGTAAAATGAGGGACTAAAATTAAAAAAAAAATTGGACACTTCTCCACCCTTCCAGCCAAAATTTTATTGCATGATTAGGAGCTAATTAATGAGCTTTGACTCACCTAAAAAGGAAAGGTTAAAAGGAATGCAAAATGGAGGGTCAGGAATTAAAGAAAAATTAAAGGCTAAAACTTATCCAATTGAAGGGCTACGATTAAGAGTTAATTTAAGGGCTAAAATTACTCCAAAACATATCAATTCAATGGTGGAGTTGAGGTCAAAATTCCACCAAAAATTTATCTATAAATAAGCTTGCAAGAAATTATAGAAAATGCATGGAAATTAGCTAAAACCAAAGGATACTCTTGCAAAATTTCCTTAGGACTTTCCATCCAAAATCCACTAAAATCACCTCCAAACACTTTAAATCAACTAATCAAGCAATGAAATCAAGTTAGGAGAACAAGAATTATCAAGGAAAAAATTGGAAGTTTAGGCCAAATTTGGCGAAGAGAAGAGGAAGGAAGAATTTCTCAATCATCTCACTTTTAAAAGCTTAATTAGGTAATTTAAATCCATCTAAATCACAAGGGTTGTTTAATTGATGATAATTTTTTATTTATGTGCTTTAATTTATGAATTTTAACTTTAATTTTAAAAATTTAGGTTAGGGTTCTTGGTGAAATAAATTTGGAAAAAATGAAACTAAGCTTGTAATTCATGTAATTAAGTTGAAATATGTTAATTAGACTTGAAATTGAGGCTTAAAACTCAAAACTTTCTAGGGTTGTTCAAGGGTTACCATTTCGCCTAAAGTAGAGATTTGGGGTTTTTGGATGCTTTCATCTATTTGATGTTTTAGAGCTTGATTATGACTTACTTAGGTATGAATTAGTATTTAGGAATGAAAAACCTCATGTTATTTGAAGAAAAATTCATGAAACTCCTAAGGTTACATTCGACCCAAACTTGGAATTTTAGGGTTTGAGTTTTATTCATTTAATTCATGATTTGTTGATCAATTAGTAATTGAATGAGTATAATTTGTTGATTAGGAAGGTAAAATTTCAAGAAAATTGAAGAAAATTGCTTAATTTGACTCGAGGTCCAATTTTAGCCCATTAAGGCCCAATTTGGATTTAAAAATGAAATTATACCTTAAATGTTAATTATATTGATTCCTATTGATAATGTAAGTCTAAACTACTTAGTGCTAAAAATTTAGAAGTAAATGAGAAGGAATTAATTGGGTTTGGACTAGGGTAAGTTTTGGCCTAGAATGGTCACATTTAGGGTTTAATTTCAATTGGCCTTTAAACCCGAAATTGGTTAATTTGATATTAGGATAGCACAATAAAATGAATAAGAATGAAAGATTTTAGTAGAAATTAGAAATTGACTTATAATGGTGAAGTTAGGCTTTGGGCCCATTAAGGCTCAAATTGGAAATAATACTAGTAATTAATTAAGTGATACTTAGTTAGGTTCATTCATGACATTAAGATTAAATTGGGGAAAAATTAGAGTAAATTGGATGTAAAGAATTAAAGAAAATGATTAGGTTAAATTATAATCTAATTCGACCTTAATTAGAAAGTTAGGTATTTTGGTTTGTTTTGTATAACTTTTATATTTAATTGTGTTTTTGAATGGTGGTTAATATTTTTGAATCTTGTATTTGGTGAAATGTGAATGATGGTGATGTTATGTTGTTTGGAATGGTATGTTGGTATTGGTATGGATTATGATGGTTGATATTGTTTATGCAAAGTAATATTATTAATGCAATTATATTGTTGATTTTATACATTATCATGACTCGATTGTATGATTATTCATGGCATGCATCTCATGAAGCAAAATTATTTATGCATTACCAATAAAATGCTCATGTATGCCTACTTTCATAGAAAATGATTTAAAGTTATGAAAACATGTTTTTACCTCAATGATTTTCCAGTAGCAATTGGAAATGTTTTAA